TTCTCTTGATCATTATCATTTAGGATTTATATACTTTACAAGGATAGAAATGAACCCTTAACTCTGAACCAATAATAACAAAGAACAACACAAACTACGAACACTTCTCTTTATCAATCACACAAACCAGTCCCACCAAATTGACTGGATTTCTCTTTATCAACTCAATTCAACAAATTACAACACAAATAATATTCCACCACAACTCCATTCAACACAAATTTCAAATCCAACACATTCATCCAACATAAAAAAAAAATTGACAAACCAAAGTGACTAATTACCTTACAATAATAATGGCAGATGGGGAACTTGAAGAAGAAGAGCGCGGCAGATGAGAACTTCGAAGAAGAAGAAGAAGAAGAGCGCAGATGAGGAATGAAGACGAAGAAGAAGAGCGAAGATGGGGAATGAAGATGAATAAGAAGCGACTGTGTTTTAATTTTAAAAAATTCCCCCAAATTTGTGTTTTAACCTAATTTTTTTATTTATTTTTCTTTTAATTTACAGTATGAACGCCCGTCAAAAAATAAAGGACGACCGTTCATAGGTTATGGACGACCGTCCATGAATTTTGGACGGGCATCGTTAGGGACACCCGTCGACAAGTTAGGGATGCTCGTCCAAAATTTTGTTTTATTTTTTTATATTTACATTATGAACAGGCGTCCCTTATTTGAGGACACCTGTCCAAAATTCAGGGATGGCCGTCTATAACTGATGAACGGGCATCCCTAATTTTTTTTAAAACCATTAATAATGGACGGGCGTCCATTAACATATGAACGTCTGTCCATTAATTTTGTTTATAAAAATTTTATTATTTAAAGATTGGATGGGCGTCCATTATATGTGGACGCCCGTCCTTTATTTAGGGACGTCCGTCCATAACCTATGAACAACTGTCTATTATTTTTGTTTATATTATTTTTTCTATTTACTGATGAATGAGCTCCTTTAAATGTGGACTCCCGTCCATAGTAAATGGACGAGAGTCCATCATAAGTGAACGACCATCCATAGTTGATGAACGACCATTCACTAACAAAATATTTGTGAACGTGAAACGTGACTGGTGTGAGTCATGGGACACGTAATTCAGTGTAAGAATTCAGTGTAGAGTCCAGGTGTCCCTAGCATTATTGAATAACAATAATGCCTTTTTGTTGTTAAAACTAACATCTCAATTTAACGATGGGTGGAAAAATGTTTTTTTTTTTTTTTCAAAGTTTATGGGTGGCAAAAGTAATTATGGCAAACTTCGCGTGGGAAAAATCATTCACTTGATAAAGAATATGTAAATTTTTTTTTTTTCTTTTTATGAGAATGGCTAATACATTTTACATGCAGATGCAGTATTTCTCAGCATTTTTATCGGCCTCATGTTGTCTACAGATATAATTTATGTTGTTCATTAAATATAAATCGTCTTCTAACAAATTGTGTTACAAAAAACTTATATGATGTGTTTATTTTATTATTTTGAATAATATTTTAAAAAAAGTTGAGTTAGGTTGTTATTTCGAGAATATGATTTGAAAACTAAAAAAAAAAACACCCACTATTTGTTAATTTAGTTAAACACTCCCTACAATAAAATATTAAAAATTAATAAAAATACTCATACTCATCCACATTTGCCAGATTCCGGCCACCACCATCCGAAGGTGGCTGGAATTTGTCGTAATGGTGCACTATCGGCACCGGCTTGATCTGGCTGATAGTGCACCATTACGGCAGATTCCAGCCACCTTTCGACAGTGGTGGCTAGAATCTGGCAAATGTGGGTGGGTCTGAGTGTTTTTGTTAATTTATAAACTTTTATTGTAGTAAGTATTTAGCTAAATTAACAAACCTATGAGATTAAAAATCTAAATATTTTGAGTTGAATAAAATATGATTAAATTTTGAGAATAATTAAACAAATAATATGTATTTTGGGTTGGATATGAATAGTGAAACAAAGACACCCAAAAAACCCATTCTTACTTTAAATAAACAATAATGCTAGGGACACCGAGATTTTTACACCAAAATATTGTACCGGCCTACGTGTAACGCACATCTAAATATTTTTACAATTTTTTTCTAGTGAACGGCCGTGCATCAAATTTGGACGGCCATTCACTCACATGGACGGGCGTCCATATACAAAGGACGGGCATCCATAAATAAAATATAATAAATTTTTTTTATAAATATTGGGGACGGGCGTCCATCTGTTATGGACGGTCGTCCATTACTTTTGGACGGGCGTCCATTCCCGTCCATACTTAAAAAAAAAAAAAATAATAATAATTCTGCTTCTTCTTCTTCCTTTCGTAAATGTTCCATTTTCTTTCTATTGGAATAAGGGCGCCATGCAGCTTGGATGAAGCATGCGGCCCATGTCCTCCACTATTATGAGTAGAACCTGAAGGTGTGCTCCCTCTTCATCTTTCCTAAGTTTCCCAGCCAGCTGATGAAACTCTTCCAGAACTGTGTCTTGTGATTTCTTCTCCACTTCTTGGGTTGTCATTGTGACTAAGTTAAGGAGTAGTGTCGTTGAGATAGTAAAGATGGAAGAGATTGGATGAATTTTAAATTTTCAAAGATGGAATAGAAAAGGGAAAATACCCAGTTGGGGTTGTCTTGAAGAATAAGTTAGAAAGTTAAAGATGAAGTAATTTACAGATTCTTGAAGAATTTTGGATACCTTCGCAATTTTGTGAGAAGCTATTCTGGGGGCAAGATAAGCCAATCCAATAATATTGATCATCTTCCTGAAATATATAAAGAAAACAGGAACTGAAACCCCATGAATAATTGCACCAAAGATCCCAAAGCCATTAACACACAGTCCTAAAAATCTGCAAATGTAAATAGTTTCAGCAATGAAACTCAAACAAAACAAGAAGAAGAAGAATGAATTAGAATAGAAAAAGAGAGAAGGAATAATGGACGGCCGTCCCTTTAGTGTGGACTGCCGTCCATACATAATGGACGGGCATCCATTAGTTATGGACGCCCTTCCAAACTTAAGGGATGCCCGTCCACAATTTATGGACGGGCGTCCAAATTTTTTTTTATTTTTTAAAACAAATTAAGTTTGGACGGGCGTCCCGTATTTGAGGACGCCCGTCCAAAATTAAGGGACGGTCGTCCACAACCTATGAACGGCCGTCCATAATGTTTTACAAATTTTTTTATTATATTTTATTTATGGACAGGCGTCCTTTAAATGGGGACGTCCGTCCCTTGTATATGGACGCTCGTCCATATAATATGGACGGGCGTCCATGTGAGTGAATGGCCGTCCAAATTTGATGGACGGTCGTTCACTAGAAAAAAAAATTGTAAAAATATTTAGATGTGTGTTACACGTAGGCCGGTACAGAATTTCGGTGTAACTTTTTCGGTGTCTGTAGTGTTATTGTTAAATAAATATGGTTACTACGTGCTGCCGTTGTGACGGCAGAAGAGTGACAGCAGAAGAGTGACAAGAGTTTCTCTCAATAATGCAATTTGAATATATTTTTTAATTTTATCAAACTCTTAACAAGATAGCTATCAAGGACAAACGTATAATCATGCTTGTATCTAATTGATTATTGATGAAAGTTAAACAATTATTATTATCGAGATATATTATAATGATGCTTATGGTTTTATAAATCATGTGTGGTCATTTGGTAAAGACTAAAGACTGGGTATAAATATTTTAGTTAGAGAATTTCATCCGCTGGTACCAATCTATCTCAAGTGAGATCAACATAGATAAGTATTTTATTGGTTTTAGGGGTAGATTGAAATAAAATCAATAAATCTTAGAAATATTTGGAATGAATATAAGTATTACACTATTATTTCTACAACTACTTTAGTTTTAATTGAACTCAAAATTATAAATTTACTTCACTCTCCTCTCAATGGGATATGAAATATTAATCTTGTTTAAGTTAAAAATAAAAAGAAAAACCCAGATTTAAAAAAAAAAAAAAAAATTTCTTCTCAAAAGATTAGCCTTTTCTTTCAATATAATTTTATTTATTTATTTAGGCCCCGTTTGGTTCATTATTGGGTAGTTTTTAAAATAATCTTTTGAAAAAAGTTAAATTGGGAGGATATTACGATGTAGAATTTTAAAAATTAACATAAATACCCCCTTATATTTATTTATTTACCAAACAGCCCCAAATATAATATTCAAAATTAACAAAACACCCCCAATCCACTCATAAATAAGGACAACCGGTCACCACCGCCGGAGAGTGGCCGGAGTTGCCGTATCAGAGTATGATAGGCTCGATATTGTCCGTTGTGCGCCGATATAGCCTTTTCCGATCAGATCTACCATGAATCTGGCTGGAAAAGGCCAGATCTGCGGCTAGATCTGGCCACTGACCGCCAGATCTGGCCGCATTTGGTCGTCAACGACGGCCAAAGATACGGCCGTCGTTGATGACTGTCTACGGCCAAAGATCTAGCCGAAAAAGGCTAGATCGATGCACTACCAAAAAGCTTTAGCTGATAGTGTGTCAATATACCAGATTCTGTCCAGCTTTCGACAATGGTGGCCGAAATCTGGTAAATTTTGGTTGTTGGGGTGTTTTTATCAATTTTTTAAATTTTCTTTGGAGGTTATTTAGTTAAATTAATAAATATAGGGAGATTAAGAGAATTGAATAATTTAGAAAACTATTTTCAAAATAGATGAAATAAAGTTAACGTTTTTTAGGAAAACTAAATTCCCAACAAGTTTTCCCAACATGTGAACCAAGCAAGCCTTAGAATTTACAAATATGCAGCGAAGCCAAATTAGTAACCGCCTTACAAGGGCAAAAGCGGAAAAACAAGCATAAGAAGGTTTAAAACCTGAAGCCGAAAAAAACTGAACGCGAAAATTATCGCTTGAGTATATGCTTCCCCAAGGATGCTCAGATTCTCTCCATCTTCTTCGTTTCCATAGCACGCAACGAAATATCTCTCTTGCTCCAGTAACTCGATCTCTTTCTCCGACGATGGAGGCAATACAGAGCAGACTGGAGACATGGATCAGAGATCAGAAGGCCAAGATGCTGAAGGTGTCATGGGGCCCACTCCAGTGGAGAATGAGGTGGCCGCCTTGGAACGGTAACGACAGAGAACAGAGGAAGAGGATTCAGGAAGAGTATGAGAGACGAAAGAAGCAACTTCAAGATCTTTGCCGAGCCTTTAAGGCCGAGTCTGTGACTGATCTTCAGGACATTTTTTGTTGCATGGTGCTCGCTGAGTGCGTTTACAAGGTAATAATCTCCTTTTTACCAGAAACATTATGATTATTATCGTTTATGAACTTGCGAAACATACATGTATTGTTTGATTGTTTTTTGCTTGTAATTGTCTAATTTATTGCCTCAAATTTTTGCGAAATTAAGTGCTCTGCTGTATTCCTTATATTTTACTGTTCTTTTAATTATGCTAATTTTAGTTATCAGGTATTTTTAGTTCATTTGAAAGAATTAGGGTTATGTCGCTTCTTTCTTGTATTGATTAGGAAAACAATGGCGGAATACTTGGGTTGTAAAGAAAATTATATAATCTTAAAAGGGAGAATATCTTTAATTGTTTATTGTGTTCTGAATTTTACAAACAATGACTGCAGGAGTGGGTTGAGGCGAGAGAATATTGTATTACTTTAGTATTAGCTTTTATGTCAGAATTTTTACCTTGCACAATTTAACGGGCTTCTTAAGCAATAAATTTGGTTCTAAATGATCATAGTGATCTGAGTTTTTGTGGATGAAGGGGAATAATGTTGAAAGGCCAAATTTGACAATTCATTGTTGTACTACTCTTGGAAACGANAAGTTAGTAACCTAAGACAGTCATGTCAGGAAACGGAAGATGCTCTGTCTCAAGGCATGGAGAAATTGCAATCAACTCTTGCTGAAACTGTACTTGTTGGTCAACTAGTAGAAAGAGATTACATCCCACGGATATCTACTGCAATGGAGAAGTTGGAAGCTCTAGTCGTCTTTGTGAACCAGGTAAGAATAGCTAATGTTTCTATTGCATGCTATCTGTACTTTCAATATCTTTCAGTAATCCATTTTCTGATCTGTCAATTAGTTCTTTATCAGCACATCTGATTTAAATGGAGAAACTTTCTAGTGAGTCGAATTTGCATTTCTTCTACTTCTTGTCTAAATAGGTTGACCATCTTCGCCAGGATACGACGCTACAGCAGATGTCTCGTATCCTAACAACTCGCCAAGCAGCTCGAGGCTTGCTTGCGTTGGGGGAGTACTTCCAACGACTTAGAGCTCTGAGTTCTATTTGGGTTACTCGTCCTCGCGAGCCTGCGTAATCTTATACCAGAAAAAGGTCTAAAAGCACAAAAATCTCTGGAAGATCCTCACGGTCCAAACTTTGTTTCCCCCATCAAAGGTACTTGTGGACTTCTTGTTAAAAACATAATCTGCATCCTTTCAGCTGTTGACATTTTTGAAGCAACCACACGCACGCGTCCTGAGAAATTGTAAATATAAATAGCCTTTTTACCCCAGAGGAAGTTAAGTTTGTAATTAAATCAATCTTTGATGCATGATGTATGTTTTTTCATCTTTTAAAGAACATATTTAGATTTTATACTTTGGAGTACCGTTGTAATGTCGTCATGCAAATCTTTACAAGACCACAATTTTTGTTTCTTATGTTTGTTGCGTGAATCGTGTATGAATAATGTTATACTTTCTCACGAACTTACTAACCGTCTTACTCACTTTTGTTAAAATTACATATAGTACCCGTACTATGCTTTATGTTTATAACTATTAGTTAGACGGTTAATAAGATCATGAGTAAGCATAGCATTACACATTGTATATTTCATAGTTGTTTTATGTTCTTCGAGTATAGAAAGATACTTGAAAAACTTGAAGTAGTAGTGTACTTAAATAAAGATTTAATCATTGTGGCTAGTGGCAGAACGAAAGAATGCTCATTTTATAACTATTAATTCATTCTAATGTAATGAATTGGAAATCGATGAAGAGAGCCAAATCAATTCATCTGAAACCATCACTTTCTTTGGACTTCAATGGTTCATAGTTAATAATCCGTGAGAGAACGTTCCTTTATCGTCTTTCAAAAAAGGGTCTTTACCATATACAACCCTAAAACTGAAAAGCGTAACCACAGCCTCCACCAACTTCAAAAACTATAAAATATACCCTCACCCCCGACTGTTGGTGTTGGAGGTCGGAGCTGTTAAAAACTTAAAATGGATGACAAGGAGGATAAAATTGATATTTCATACAAATAGAGAAGATGAAATAAATTTAAAAAAAATATATATTAACTTTGATGGGGGTATCATAATACAATTTTGAAAATATTTCAACAATTTCTTAACAGGGGTTACAAGCTACATTGTCAAACCCTAAATCTCCCTTCATTCAGTTTCTTCATATACCTGATTCGTGAGAAAGAGCCAGACTGAATACTTGGTATGTGAAAACCCATTTTTCCTTCAATTAATCCATCAATAAGTTTGTTTTGTTGATTGATTTTTGTTGTTAATCTTTATTTGAAACTCTGATATTCTTAATTTTGAATCCCTTATTTCACTTAATCGGACTCCGTTCTCGAAACCCACTTAGTTAAGTCACTTCTAGTGAAAACCCAGATTCAATTTTTCTTTTTTATTCCTCTAGTTGCAGAGCTCCGGTTAGGAAGATCCAGAATAGCGCGTGAAATGGGATGGAGAATGGAGATACAGTTCACTCGCGCCAAATATGGTTACAAATCACATTGTCAAACCCTAAATCTCCCTTCATTCAATTTCTTCATACGCCTGATTCGTGAGAAAGAGCCAGACTGAATACTTGGTATGTAAAACCCATTTTTCCTTCAATTAATTCATTAATAAATTGGTTTTGTTGATTGATTTTTGTTGTTGTTTATCTTGATTCGAAACTCTGATATTCTTAATTTTGAATCCCTAATTTCGCTTAATCCGACTCCATTTTTGAAACCCACTTAGTGAAGATAATATAATGTGAACGCCACTGTTTGTTTACACAGTGATAGATAATATAAGATAATTTTTTTTTAAATTTTTCTGTTCATAAGAATATGAAGAATAGAACACGCAATAATTGGGGATAGAAACATCAAATAAAACTTATATATACATACAACAATTACTGACGGACAGAGTTGGAGTTGGCAGCTAAATTAATATATTAATTTATTATTTCTATGTCATATTCTGGTTGGGTGGCGTATTTATAACTGTCAATCAAGGAGAAGTCAATTGGAAATAAAGTATTAATGTTAATTTAATCCGTTCTTATTGTGATGTTTTGATTGAGTTATTAAATTGATACCCTTTTTCCCTTTTTCTTGTTTTAATCAGTCAAATTAATGTTTCCCTTTTTCTTGTTTTGCGACATCATGTCATATGACTAATTAATGTGAATGAAGAAGGTCAAGTTGCCAGAAATCAGTAATTAAAGACTATAAATTAAATATATATTTAAGAACATGAATAAGAATTCAGAACCTAATCCNTTAATTTAATCCGTTCTTATTGTGATGTTTTGATTGAGTTATTAAATTGATATTAGTCAAATTAATGTTTCCCTTTTTCTTGTTTTGCGACATCGTGTCATATGACTAATTGATGTGAATGAAGAAGGTCAAGTGGCCAGAAATCAGTAATTAAAGACTACAAATTAAATATATATATTTAAGAACATGAATAAGAATAATATTAGTTCAACAATTTATTAGAAGTCAACTAGTTACCAAGTGAAAAACATGAAGCAGTGGTTGGGTTGTTAGTGCCAATCACCATAGGATTAAGTTAACTGGGGCAAGTCAATTAGAAATAAAATATGAATTTAATTATTAATTAATTAACTTAATACATTTAGCATATATATTGTCAATGAATTTATGTGTTAGTTAAATTATGTGAAAATGTAAAACAAGCATCTATTACAGTTCTGATTACGTATAAGCATCTTTTCCCTTATCCTGTTATATATGATTGGAGAAAAAAAATATTAAAATTTCTAGTGATTGATTCCTAAAACTATTCCAGAACTTCATTCACAATGAAGGACCATAAAATTACAAAAGCGAAAATAGAATCGTGATCGATTGTCATGACAGAAATATAAAAATACATCTTCATTAGATTTATTCTTAATTTCAATTAAATTACTTCTAGTGGAAACCCAATTTCAAAATTTTTGTTTGCATGTTTGAAAATGTTGAGCCCCATTTCAATTTGATGATTACAGGGACAGAGTTAACAGTAAATAGTGGGCAATGTAGAAGGTATATTAAGAATTTAACAAAATTGTAATGATTTGGAAACTTTTGGATGCAAGGAGAGGTAAATGTGAACCGTTGCTGAGGAATTTCTTGTGTGTGAATTGATGAATTTGTGTCACAACCACACCGGATGTGAATGGCTTATTAGTTGTTTGTTGGGGTCGCCTTTCACACCAGATGTCAAAGGCATCTTCTAGGAAAGGAGATAATTTGAAATGCTTAGAGATTGATGCAAATACTCAATTATATGATGTCTTGGCTTAGCTCTTTATGTTTTTGTTAATGTCAAGTAATTCTCATCACTATAAGTTAATGGCTGTTGCTTCTTCTTCCTCTTCTTCTCAAGAAAAGTATGATGTTTTTCTTAGTTTCAGAGGTGAGGATACCGGCAATAATTTTACTAGCCATCTATATGCCGCATTGTGTCAAAAAATGATCAATACATTCATTGATGACGAGCTTAAAAGAGGGGATCAAATTTCTCCATCTCTTTTTAATGCAATTGAACGGTCAAAGATTTCCTTGATCATTTTCTCAAAAGAGTATTCTTCTTTGTTATGGTGCCTTGAAGAACTTGTAAAGATCCTTGAATGCAAGAACAGTTATGGTCAGATTGTAATTCCTGTTTTCTATGGTGTGTACCCGTCAGATGTAGGGAATCAGATTGGGACTTTTAGGGATGCATTTACTAAGCTTGAAAAACGTTTCAAGAGTTCGGAAGAAACATTGCAGAGATGGAGGACTGCTTTGAGAGAAGCTGCCAATCTATCTGGCTTTGATTCAAATGTCATCAGGTAACTGTTAATACTTTTATTTTCTGCTGATTTTTTGTCTTTCATTTAACTTATTTGATTCTTTGTTTCAATTTAGCATTAATCATTGGTTGAACTATTTAATATTTTTTAATTGTGTATCACTCAACGGTCGTCCACATGTGATGTTAAATAGAAATATTGGTAGACTTGATGTATGGAAAACTATTGTTTTATATTAAAACTAAGCCATATGTACTCTTAGATTATTACTTTACACAGAGAAAATCGTGTTGTCTGACAAATTGATGTCTTTTTGGTCTCTTTGGGAGAGGAAAAAAAATAAATAAATAAGAACCAATAATATGAAGTTAAAACAAGTGATAAGTTCTTTGGCATTGAGGGTTTGGAGAGAAATGTTAAAGATATAGTGGATGCATGAAAGATATCAAGTTTCAGCGACAATCTTTTAAATTTTTTTGTTTTGGAGGGCTGATCCTGTGTTAATGTTTAAATATGATGTCATTTGATAGCAAACTACTAGTTCAGTTTTTTATGAGGTAGCGTAACTTCTATTGATGTTTTTATTAGGCTATATAATGTTTAGTAAGTGGACTCAAACATTCAAGTCAATTTACTTATTTAGGAAATCATTACTTGTTAAATCTTGTAACAACTCTTTCTAGCGTTGAATGTTTCTCATACTCTATTAAACTTTGTTATCTTCATATATGTATTACTTTTAGCCATGCATTTTCAGTTTTAAAAATGCATTTTAACCTTGTTATCTGCCTGTATGATTTATGGGTGAAGAATTAAACATGTCCTATATGATTTAATTGGTTTATCAGGATTTTTAATAATGCTCCATGAAAATCTCCCAATTATTAGTAATATTTTTAAACTTCGGAGAAGCCTAATTAATAAATTTCATGTAAATATGACTTTTGTTCCAAAAAGAAAATGATTATACAATAATCTCAAGTCATAATGCAGGGAATGATCTTGCAATGTTTTTCACTTGTAGAAATAATGTAGGGCTAGGCCATTATTGTTTATATTGTTATTATTGATGTAAGATGTTGATTGTATTTTACAGTTTTCCAAATTTGTTACTGAATGGAACTGACACAGGCTTGCGGGTCCTAAAAGAAGTGAGTATCACTTGAGTGAAACTTGGAGGTTGAAATCTTCTTATATAAAAGGTAACTTAAGTTCAAACCCATGAGCTTATTATAGCAGGTTGGAACAAGTTGATAGGATAACCTTTTACATCCCCATATCTCTCCAATGGTAAAATGTGAAAAAATGACTTATGCAAATTCTGCACAATGTGTTAGGAAATTCAAGGCTTTGCACTCCATCATTTATGGGGTTTCTTGTTTGCCTGATCTAGAAGATATGCGAAATCTTGGAACTCTCTATGGTATTCTGTATAGTTGTTGTGGTTTCCTGCATAATAGTTCAATGGTTTCAAGGTAGAGTTTACTTTTTGTTGCCTTATGAAGCTAGCTTTCTGCAATTTATATTGGTCATTATATTTGGTTTTGTCTTGTTTTGCATTACTATATATTTGGGTGAATCCATGCCAGGCCCTCTAGGTTTTGCAATTTGAAGTGCTATTATTACTTAATATCAAGCATTCATCTGGTGAAGGCATGGTCTTTTTTTTCTTCTTTCAAATAAAAAACTCATTGCCTCAAAGTGCGAGGGAAATTTGATAATTTCTCCTCTGACAAGGATAAAAGGCCAAATTGAGGCAGCAGCCCATCCCATGCATATTGTGTTACATCAGGTCGCACAATTCTTTTTATGAATTATTCTTTCAATTCCTGAATTGTGTAATTTCCTCTTTCTGATGCTAGTCAGTTTGCAACCAAGTAATGAAAGAAGTTCAAGCTGACCAACAATGGAAGACAATACCACCTGCTTTGTTCAGAATCGCAAAATTGACAGTGATTGTTTCAGTCTTGCTTGGTCTCTGGTGCACACACTAACGATAACCTTTTCGCTGGCCAGTGGACACATATTGTGATGGATGTCATTCTGAAATTCTCTGGATTTTCTTCCCTGGAATTCGGATTATGTTGCTGAAATATTTAATTAGATATGTTAGATGAAGGCTACTGCTATATAATCTTTTACTGCCGGATGCTTTCTGTGTTGTGATTCAACATAATTACTATCTAATAGTTGGTGATATTTGGTTTTCTTGGCAGTGAAATGATGTTGGTTGCTCTTTCTACTGTTGTAAGCTGCTACTATTTAGGGTATTTATTTTCTGTGTGAAACTCTGGTTGTTTTTTTTCTGGGCTTTTCCGGATATTTTTGCCTTCTAAGGCTGCTTTGTTTTCTTGTATTTGCTTAATTAGTTTGCTTTCTTCTATGGCTATGCTGTGGCTATATAATACCATGTAAAAGTGCATATTACAAGTTTTACGTTTTTGTTTTACAAGTTTCATGTTGTTGTGTTATTGCAGCAATCTATTGTAACAAAAACCCGCTATTGATTGTTTTAAAAAGACACGTCTCAGAACCTGGGGACCTATCATACTTAGTGGTGTTAAAAGAAAATACAGAAATCAAACCGAACCGGTTTCCGATTATCTGAAAAACCGGTTCCGTTTTGGTTCAAAGAAATACAAAAGTCGATTTTTCCATTCGGTTACCGGTTTACGAGAATGTGAGAATTGGTTAACCAAAATTTGTTTTATAAATCGGTTTATTATAAAAATATTAAATTAAAACAAGTTTTTTTGGTGTTCAAAACCAGTTTTCCCCTTAACTGGTTGGGTTTTAGTTTAGGAAAATTTTTAAATCGAAAAACTGATTCAGTTCACAAAATTTGTTAATTGGTTTTAAACACTCTAATCATACTATTACCAAACCTAGAAGTTTAAAATGTTTTTCGACTCATCATAAAACGTGATGAGCATGTGACATGGTCAAGTGATGGATCGGAGAGCAGAATCAGTCTGGTGGAATCGCAAAACAAGACGGCTCTCATGTGTGTTTCAGTAGTGAGAAAGGCACTTAAACGACAGAGAAATGGGGTGGATGAACTCGTCGTTGGCATCAATTTGTATTATTTTTAACCACATTATCAACCATGAATCTCCATTTGTTCATTTTTTTCAGATGCCTAAGCTGTGAGAAAAAGCAGGGTGATGACTGGATATGTAAAACCCACTTTACTGTAATTGGCTTTAATCTATTAATTCTTTATTTATTTTGATTGATTTTTGCTGTTGTTAATATTGGTTCCGTATTGTAAGATTCAAATTTCATTGCTAGTGGGTGGGATATGGTTGCAGGGAGGTGGCAAATTGATTTATGCAATGACCAAATTACCCCTAAAACTGAGTTTCCACAAAATTAATAAAAATATGAATTTATGTTTTAGTTAATTATGTGAAAATGTAAAACAAGCATCTATAGAGTTTTGATTACGTATAAGCATCTTTTCGTATCCGTTATATATGATTGGAGAAAAAAAAATGTTAAAATTTCTAGTGATTGATTCCTAAACTATTCCAGAACTTTGTCCACAATGAAGGACCATAAAATTAAAAGCAAAAGTAGAATCGTGAGATGTCATGACAGAAATTAAAAATACTCTCATTAGATTTATCTTAATTTCAATAAATTATTCTAGTGGAAACCCAGTTTCAAAATTTTTGTTTGCATGTTTGAAAATGTTGAGCCCATCTCAATTGATGATTACAGGGACAAAGTAACAGCAAATAGTGGGCAATGTAGAAGGTATATTAAGAATTAACAAAATTGTAATGATTTGGAAACTTGGGTGTAGGAGAGGTTAAGTGGCACCTTGCTGAGGAATTTCTGTGTGTGAATTAATGAATTTGTGTCACAACCACACCAGATGTGAATGGCTTATTAGTTGTTGTTGGGGTTGCTTCACACCAGATGTGAAAGGCATCTTCTAGGAAAGGAGATAATTTGAAATGTTAGAGATTGATGCAAAGACTCAATTATATGATGTCTTGGTTTAGCTCTTTATGTTTTTGTTAATGTCAAGTAATTCTCATCACTGTAAGTTAATGGCTCTGTGTCTTCTTCTCTTCTCCAAAGAAATATGATGTTTTTCTTCGTCCTCTCCACATAATTTTACTAGCATTTGTATGCCGCATTGTGTCAAAAATGATCAATACATTCATTGATGACGAGTTTAAAAGAGGGGATCAAATCTCCATCTCTTTTTAATGCAATTGAACGGTCAAGATTTCCTTGATTTTTCTCAAAGAGTATTTCTTGTTATGGTGCCTTGAAGAACTGTAAAGATCCTTGAATGCAAGAACATTATGGTAAGATTGTAATTCCTGTTTTCTATGGTATACCCATAGATGTAGGGAATCAGATTGGGACTTTTGGGGATGCATTTACTAAGTTGAAAAACGTTTCAAGGGTCGCAAAGAAACTTGCAGAGATGAGGACTGCTTTGAGAGAAGCTGCCAATCTATCTGGCTTTGATTCAAATGTCATCAGGTAACTGTTAATACTTTATTTTCTGCTGATTTTTGTTTTTCATTTATCATTACTTATTTGATTCTTCATTTCAATTTAGCATTAATCATTGGTGAAACTTAATTTGTTAATTGTGTATCACTCAACTTCATCCACATGTGATGTTAAATAGAAATATGGTAGACTTGATGTTGGAAAAATATTATTTTATATAAAACTAAGCCATATTACTCTGAGTTATTACTTTACAATGAGAAATCATGTTGTCTACAAATCAATGTCTTTTGTGTCTCTTTGGAAAGGAAAAAAAAAAAAAAAACAATAAGAACCAATAATATGAAGTTAAAACAAGTGATAGTTCTTTGGCTTGAGGGTTGGAGAGAATGTTAAAGATATAGTGGATACATGAAGATATCGATTTGACATGACATCTTTAACTTTTTTGTTTTGGAGGGCTGATCCTGTGTAATGTTTAAATATGATTCATTTGATAGCAAACTCTAGTTCAGTTTTTATTGAGGTGTTTTATTAGGCTATATAATGTTTAGTAAGTGGACTCAAACATTGAAGTCCATTTCTTAGTAGAAATCATTACTTGTTAAATCTTGTAACAACTCTTTACAGTTGGATGTTTCTCAATCTATTAAACTTGTTTATCTGCATTATGTATTACTTTTAGCCATGCATTTCAGTTTTAAAATGCATTTTAACCTTGTTATCTGCCTGTATGATTTATGGGTGAAGAATTAAACTGTCCTATATGATTTAATTGGCTTATCAGGATTTTTATAAAGCCATGAAAATCACGAATTCTTACAATTTCTTCATATGCCTGATTCGTGAGAAAGAGCCAGACTGAATACTTGGTATTTAAAACCCATTTTTCCTTTAATTAATTCATTAATAAATTTGTTTTGTTGATTGATTTTTGCTGTTGTTAATCTTGATTCGAAACTCTGATATTCTTAATTTTGAATCCCTAATTTCGCTTAATCAGACTTCATTTTCGAAACCCACTTAGTGAAGATGGAATAATGTGAACGCCAATGTTTGTTTACACGGTGAAAGATAATATACGATAAATTTTTTTTTTTTAATTTTTCTGTTCATAAGAATATGAAAAATAGAACACGCAACAATTGGGGATAGAAACATCAAATAAAACTTATATATGCATACAACAATTACTAACGGACAGAGTTTGAGTTGGCAGCTAAATTAATATATTATTTCTATTTCATATTCTGGTTGGGTTGGCGTATTTTTAACTGTCAATCAAGGAGAACTCAATTGGAAATAGAGTATTCATTTTAATTTAATCCGTTCTTATTGTGATGTTTTGATTGAGTTTTTAAATTGATACTAGTCAAATTAATGTTTCCCTTTTTTTTGTTTTGCGACATCATGTCATATGACTAACTAATGTGAATGAAGAAGGTCAAGTGGCCAGAAATCAGTAATTAAAGACTATAAATTAAATATATATTTAAGAACATGAATAAGAATTCAGAACCTAATCCTTCTAAAATATTAGTTCAACAATTTATTAGAAGTCAACTATTTACCAAGTGAAAAATATGAAGCAGTGGTTGGGTTGTTAGTGCCAATCACCATAGGATTAAGTTAACTGGGGCAAGTCAATTAGAAATAAAATATAAATTTAATTATTAATTAGCCTTCAATTAATTCGTAATAAATTTGTTTCGTTGATGATTTTTGTTGTGGTTAATCGTGATTCGAAACTAATATATCTTAATTTGAATCCCTTATTTCACTTAATCTACTCCATTTCGAAGCCACTATTAACTCACTTTAGTGAAAACCCAGTTTCATTATCTTTTTTATCCTCTAATTGCAGAGCTCCGCTTAGGAAGATCCAAGAATGTAGATACAGTGTCATTCGCGCCAAATATGGTTACAAATAGCATTGTCAAATCTAAATTGAGCACATCTGATTTAAATGGAGAAACTTTCTAGTGAGTTGAATTTGCATTTATCTGTGAAATTGAAGTTTTCTTCTACTTCTAGCCGTTTGTTAACTGGCTGATGATTCAGTTATTATTCTGGCCGAAATTCTGCAAGCCTGTGATGTGAGACAAATCACCCCTCTTTTCTCTTCCCTTACCTTTTAAGCCATCTTCTTTGTATTGAATTTGTTATTTTGGTGGTTTAATGCATTCATGATGTGTAGGCAATATCATTTTCGCGATGTATTCAAAAACCGTAGTCAAATTTTCCTCGAGTGCTTCTCTTTTACTGCAAATCTAAGTGTGGTTACAGAGTCTAATATGGATATTCTCTGCTGTTGAATTTTCTTTGAATAAGATTTCATGATCGGCGACCAAACCACCATTGGTGTTTCGTTAACAAAAGTGATATGATTGATAGAAAGTAATATATGGATCTTAGCATAGCATGGTTCTTTAATTTTCGGGTTCATACCATCTGAACTATGTTAGTTTTTAAGTGGAACATCTTGACATGTTACCAACTTTACAAGTTCTTGTCCAAACAGGCTGACCATCTTCGCCAGGAAACGCTACAGCAGATGTCTCGTATCCTAACAACTCGCCAAGCAGCTCGAGGCTTGCTCGCGTTGGGGGAGTACTTCCAACGACTTAGAGCTCTGAGTTCTATTTGGGCCACTCGTCCTCGTGAGCCTGCCTAATCTTGTACCGGAAAAAAGTCTTACAAGCGCACAAATCTCTGGAAGATCATCGCCATCCAAACTTTGTTTCCCCCATCAGAGGTCCAAGCTTTGTTTCCCCCATCAGAGGTACTTGTGGACATTGTTGTTACAAACATAATCTGCATCCTTTAAGCTGCTGACATTTTTGAAGCAGCCACACGCACGCGTCCTGAGAAATTGTAAATATAAATAGTCTTTTTTACCTGAGAAGAACTTAAGTTTGTAATTAAATCAATTTTCGATGTATGATGTACATTTTATCATCTGTTAAAGAATATATTTAGGTTTTATGCTTTGGGGTACCGTTGCAGCGTCGTCATGCAAATCCTTACAAGACAACAGTTTTTGTATTTCTTATGTTTGTTGTGTAAATCGTGTATTTCATAATGTTTTCATGTTCTTCCAGTATGAAAAGATACTTGTTCTTGAAGTAGTAGTGTATTTAATTGAAGATTTAGTCATTATAGTTAGTGCGAGAATGAAAGAATGCTCATTTTATAACTATCAATTCGTTCTATTCATTCTAATATAATGAATCTCAAACCATCACTTTCTTTGGACTTCAATGATTGGTTAATAATCAGTGACTAAACTTTCTTTTATCGTCTTTGAAAAAAGGGTCTTTGCCTGACGCAGCCTCCACCAACTTCAAAAACTATAAAATATACCCTCAACCCCGACTGTTGGTGTTGGAGGCCGGAGCTGTTAAAATGGATGACAAGGATGATAAAATTGACATTTCATACAAATACAAAAGATGAAATAAATTTAACTTTGACGGGGGGTATCATAAAACAATTTTGAAAATATTTCAACTAAATATTTTAACAATTTCTTAACAGGGGATACAAATTACATTGTCAAACCCTAAATCTCCATTCATTTAATTTCTTCATATGCCTTATTCGCTGAGAGAAAGAGCTAGACTGAATTCTTGGTATGTAAAACCCATTTTTCCTTCAATTAATTCGTTAATAAATTTGTGGGATTGATTTTTGTTGTTGTTAATCTTGATTCGAAACTAATATATTCTTAATTTTGAATCCCTTATTTCACTTAATCCTACTCCATTTCGAACCACTGTAACCACCTCTAGTGAAAACCCGTTTCATTATTCTTTTTTATTCCTCTAATGCAGAGCTCCGTTAGGAAGATCAAGAATGTAGATACAGTTCATTCGCGCCAAATATGGTTAAAAATAGCATTGTCAAACCTAAATCTCCTTCATTCAATTTCTTCATGTGCCTGATTCGTGAGAAAGAGCCAGACTGATACATTGGTAGTAAAACCCATTTTTCCTTTAATTAATTCATTAATAAATTTGTTTTGTTGATTGATTTTTGGTTGTAATCTTGATTCGAAACTCTGATATCTTAATTTTGAATCCCTAATTTCGCTTAATCAGACTTCATTTCGAAACTCACTTAGTGAAGATGGATAATGTGAACGCCATGTTTGTTTACCACGGTGAAAGATAAATACGATAATTTTTTTTTTTTAAATTTTTTGTCATAAGAATATGAAAAATAGAACACGCAACAATTGGGAGTAAAACATCAAATAAAACTTATATATACATACAACAATTACTAACGGACAGAGTTTGAGTTGGCTGCTAAATTATATATTAATTATTATTTCTATTCATATTCTGGTTGGGTTGGCGTATTCATAACTGTCAATCAAGGAGAAGTCAATTGGAAATAAAGTATTAATTTTAATTTAATCCGTTCTTATTGTGGATGTTTGATTGAGTTTTAAATTGATACTAGTCAAATTAATGTTTCCCTTTTTTTTGTTTTGCGACATCATGTCATATGACTAATTAATGTGAATGAAGAAGGTCAAGTGGCCGAAAATCAGTAATTAAAGACTAAAAAACTAAATCATATTAAGAACATGAATAAGAATTCAGAACCTAATCCTTCTAAAATATTAGTTCAACAATTTATTAGAAGTCAACTAGTTACCAAGTGAAAAATATGAAGCAGTGGTTGGGTGTTAGTGCCAATCCCATAGGATTAAGTTAACTGGGGCAAGTCAATTAGAAATAAAATAAAATTTAATTATTAATTAATTAACTAATACATTTAGCATTATATTGTCAATGAATTATGTTTTAGTTAAATTATGTGAAAATGTAAAACAAGCATCTATTAGAGTTCTGATTACGTATAAGCATCTTTTCCCTTATCCTGTTATATATGATGGAGAAAAAAAAAATGTTAAAATTTCTAGTGATTGATTCCTAAAACTATTCCAGAACTTTGTCCACAATGAAGGACCAAATTACAAAAGCGAAAATAGAATCGTTCGATTGTCATGACAGAAATGTAAAAATACATCTTCATTAGATTTATTCTTAATTTCAATTAAAACTTCTAGTGGAAACCCAGTTTCAAAATTTGTTGCATGTTTGAAAGTTGAGCTCCATTTCAATTTGATGAGAGGGACAAAGCTAACAGCAAATAGTGGGCAATGTAGAAGGTATATTAAGAATAACAAAATTGTAGATTTGGAAACTTTGGGTGTAAGGAGAGGTAAACGTGAACCCTTGCTGAGGAATTTCTGTGTGTGAATTAATGAATTTGTGTCACAACCACACCAGAGATGAATGGCTTATTAGTGGTTTGTTGGGTTGCCTTCACACCAGATGTGAAAGGCATTTCAGGAAAGGAGATAATTTGAAATGCTTAGAGATTGATGCAAAGACTCAATATATGATGTCTTGGTTTAGCTCTTTATGTTTTTGTTAATGAAGTAATTCTCATCCTGTAAGTTAATGGCTGTTGCTTCTTCTCCTCTTCCCAAAGAAAAGTATGATGTTTTTCTTCGTCCTCTCCACAATATTTTACTAGCCATTTGTATGCGCATTGTGCAAAAAATGATCAATACATTCATTGATGACGAGTTTAAAAGAGGGGATCAAATTCTCCATCTCTTTTTAATGCAATTGAACGGTCAAAGATTTCCTTGATCATTTTCTCAAAAGAGTATTCTTCTTTGTTATGGTGCCTTGAAGAACTTGTAAGATCCTTGAATGCAAGAACAGTTATGGTAAGATTGTAATCCTGTTTTCTATGGTGTATACCCATCAGATGTAGGGAATCAGATTGGGACTTTTGGGGATGCATTTACTAAGCTTGAAAAACGTTTCAGGGTTCGCAAGAAACATTGCAGAGATAGAAGACTGCTTTGAGAGAAGCTGCCAATCTCTGGCTTTGATTCAAATGTATCAGCGTAACTGTTAATACTTTTATTTTCTGCTGATTTTTGTTTTTCATTTAACTCATTTGACTTATTTGATTCTTCATGTCAATTTAGCATTAATCATTGGTTGAACTACTTAATATTTGTTAATTGTGTATCACTCAATGTATCCACATGTGATGTTAAATAGAAATATTGTAGCTGATGTATGGAAAAATATATTTTATATTAAAACAAGCCATATACTCTTAGATTATTACTTTACAATGAGAAAATCATGTTGTCTAACAAATCAATGTCTCTTGGTCTCTTTGGAAAGGAAAAAAAAAAAACAATAGAACCAATAATATGAAGTTAAAACAAGTGATAAGTTCTTGGCATTGAGGGTTTGGAGAGAAATGTTAAAGATATAGTGGATACATGAAAGATATCGAGTTTCAGTGACAATCTTTAAACTTTTTTGTTTTGGAGGGCTGATCCTGTGTTAATGTTTAAATATGATGTCACGATAGCAAACTACTAGTTCAGTTTTTTATGGATGTTTTAATTAGGCTATATAATGTTTAGTAAGTGGACTCAAACATTGAAGTCAATTTACTTATGTAGGAAATCATTACTTGTTAAATCTTGTCACAACTCTTTCCAGTGTTGATGTTTCTCATACTCTATTAAACTTTTTATAATTGCATTAGTATTACTTAGCCATGCATTTCAGTTTTAAAATGCATTTTAACCTTGTTATCTGCCTGTATGATTTATGGGTGAAGAATTAAACATGTCCTATATGATTTAATTGGTTTAAGGATTTTCAATAAGCTCCATGAAAATCACCGAATTATTATTAATATTTTAAACTTTGGAGAAGCCTAATTAAAAAATTTCACGTAAATATGACTTTTGTTCCAAAAGAAAATGATACAATGATCTCAAGTCATAATGCAGGAATGATGGCAATGTTTTTCACTTGTAGAAATAATGCAGGGCTAGGCCATTATGTTTTTATTGTATTATTGATGTAAGATGTTGATTGTATTTTACGTTTTCCAAATTTGTTACTGAATGGAACTGACACAGGCTTGGGGTCCTAAAAGAAGTGAGTATCACTTGAGTGAAACTTGGAGGTTGAAATCTCTTATAAAAAGGTAACTTAAGTTCAAAACATGAGCTTATATGCAGGTTGGAACAAGTTGATAGGATAACCTTTTACATCCCCATATCTTCAATGGTAAAATGTGAAAAAATGACTTATGCAAATTCTGCACAACGTGTGTTAGAAATTCAAGGCTTTGCAATCCATCATTAGGGGTTTCTTGTTGCATTTGATTAGAATATGCGAAATCTTGGAACTCTCTATGGTATTCTGTATAGTTGTTGTGGTTCCTGCATAATAGTTCAATGGTTTCAAGGGAGTGTTACTTTTTGTTGCCTTCTGAAGCTAGCTTTCTGCAATTTTATTGGTCATTATATTTGGTTTTGTCTTGTTTTGCATTACTTTATTTGGGTGAATCCATGCCAGGCCCTCTAGGTTTTGCAATTTGAAGTGCTATTATTACTTAATATCAAGCATTCATTGGTGAAGCATGTCTTTTTTTTTTTTTCAAATAAAAAACTCATTGCCTCAAAGTGGAGGGAATTTGATAATTTCTCCTCTGACAAGGATAAAAGGCCAAATTGAGGCAGCAGCCCATCCATGCATATTGTGTTACATCAGGTCGCACAATCTTTTATGAATTATTCTTCAATTCCTGAATTGTGTAATTTCTCTTTCTGATGCTAGTCAGTTTGCAACCAAGTAATGAAAGAAGTTCAAGCTGACCAAACAATGGAAGACAATACCACTGCTTTGTTCAGAATCGCAAATTGACAGTGATTGTCAGTCTTGCTTGGTCTCTGGTGCACACATAACGATAACTTTTCGCTGGCCAGTGGACACATATTGTGATGGATGTCATTCTGAAATTCTCTGGATTTTCTTCCCTGGAATTCGGATTATGTTGCTGAAATATTTAATTAGATATGTTAGATGAAGGCTACTGCTATATAATCTTTTACTGCCGGATGCTTTCTGTGTTGTGATTCAACATAATTACTATCTAATAGTTGGTGATATTTGGTTTTCTTGGCAGTGAAATGATGTTGGTTGCTCTTTCTACTGTTGTAAGCTGCTACTATTTAGGGTATTTATTTTCTGTGTGAAACTCTGGTTGTTTTTTTTCTGGGCTTTTCCGGATATTTTTGCCTTCTAAGGCTGCTTTGTTTTCTTGTATTTGCTTAATTAGTTTGCTCTTTCTATGGCTATGATGTGGCTATATAATACCATGTAAAAGTGCATATCACAAGTTTTACGTTTTTGTTTTACAAGTTTCATGTTGTTGTCTTATTGCAGCAATCTATTGTAACAAAAACCCGTTATTGATTGTTGTAAAAAGACACATGTGGTAGAACCTTGGGACCTATCATACTTAGGGGTGTTTGAAAAAAATACAGAAATCGAACCGAATCGGTTTTCCAGTTATCTGAAAAATCGGTTCGGTTTTGGTTCAAAGAAATACAAAAACTGATTTTTCCATTTGGTTCCCAGTTTATGAGAATGTAAGAAGTGGTTAACCAAAATTTGTTTATAAATCGGTTTATTATAAAAATATATAAAATATTAAATTAAAACTGGTTCAGAACTGGTTTTATGGTGTTCAAAACCAGTTTTCCCCTTAATTGGTTGGGTTTCAGTTTAGGAAAATTTTTGAATCGAAAAACTGGTTCAGTTCACAAAATCGGTTAATCGGTTTTGAACACCCTAATCATACTATTACCAAACCTAGAAGTTTAAAATGTTTTTCGACTCATCATAAAACGTGATGAGCACGTGACATGGTCAAGTGATGGATCGGAGAGTCGAATCAGTCTGGTGGAATTGCAAAACATAACGACTCTCATCAGTAGTGAGAGAGGCACTTAAACGATGGGGAAATGGGGTGGATGAACTGGTCGTTGGCGTCAATTTGTATTATTTTTAATCACATTATCAATCATGAATCTCCATTTGTTCACTTTTTTCACATGCCTAATCTATGAGAAAAAGCAAGGGTGATGGCTGGATATGTAAAACCCAATTTACTGTTATTGGCTTTTAATCTATTAATTCTTTATTTATTTTGATTGATTTTTGCCGTTGTTAATATTGGCTCTGTATTGTAAGATTCAAATTTCATTGCTAGTGGGTGGGATATGGTTGCAGGGAGGTGGCAAATTGATTTATGCAATGACCAAATTACCCCTGAGACTGAGTTTCCACAAAATTAACAAAAATATCTTTACTTTTAAATAACTTAACATAAAAAATTCAATAAAATTACCTACAACATAAAGTTTTTAAGAACAATTTAAAAGGCCAAAAATTAATATAAATTTTAAGAAATTTTTTAACTTGGTTGGTTTTTTAATTATTTAAACCCACCCCCCCTCCCTCCTTTTTTTTCTTTGAATTTAACATAATTTTAAGACTTTTGGGTTTTTTTTAATGATTATATATATATTTTATTAATTTAACATAATTTTTAGGCTCTTCTTTTGAATTAAAAAAAAAAACAATTTAGGATAATATTGTCATTTAGTGGTCAAAATCAATGAACAGTTTGATTTAATGGAAAAAACTAATGGCAGGAAGGTGGTTGGATAATTCGCATAACATAGGGACCAACTTGTCAATTTTGAAAACCACAAGGGAGGTAATTGGTTTAAACCCTTATTTTTAATTAGATAGTCTCACAACCATAATGTTATAATTTATTTTGGATTTAATAAAATTCACCTTGAGGACTCTTGAAATTTCCTCACAAGGTATTTGTAGTAACAATTTTTCAGTTGTCATCATCGGTTGGAGCTTTTGGTGTTTAATTTAGCGGGATTAATGGTAATATGTGTTACTTAGGTGATAAAAACTATATTAAAACACTAATTATAGGAGGTAAATTGTTATTTCTAAAACCACAAGGAAATTAGTATAATTAACTGTAATTTTTATTAGCTTCCCACTTGCACTTATGATTTATAAATCCTTTTTTTAGTTCCTTTGCAAAAAGTGATTAATGGTTAAACAAATAAAAATTATATAATTGTATTTAACCCAGTTAGGGATTTTATATATACACCACAATAGTTGTCATTTTGAAATTTCTCTTACATTTTATTCCAGGCAATCGGATGATCATGTCGGAATACAATTTAATTATGTATGTTGGATGAAGCTACTGCTATGTTAATGTAGGCGATGTTTGGTTTTTTGGATAGTTAAATAATGTTAATTGCTATTTAATACTATTGTAACCTACTATTATAATGGTGTTTTGTTCTGTTATGTTCTAAGTAGAGTAGTGTTCGTAAGAGTAGGTTTTATGTAGGGTGTGATTGATATGGGCTTTTTTGGGATGAATGACTAAAGAAGCACAAATTATGGGTATTGGAACTAGGGGTGTTCAAAAGCGGTTAACCGAACCGAACCAGATTTTCAGTTCGGGAAAATTTTCTAACGAAACCGAACCGGTTTTAGGAAAAACCGGTTTTCAACCAGTTTTCCCACTTTTTTTTTTTAAATTTTGTCCTAAATTAAATTGTAAATATAGACAATACATTGGGAACTAAGAAAAAAAATTTGGGTTGGGATTTTAGATTGATTGAATTAGTGATTTATTTTAGTTTAGGTTATTATTTATTTATTTAATATATATATATTTGAAAAACCGTTTCTAATTTCTCCCGAACCGGTAACCGAATCGAAAATTCAGATTTTTTAATTTTTTGAACCGTAATCGAACCATTTTTTCAGTTAACCGGTTTTCGGTTCTATTAGCGGTTCGATTAACTGTTCAGTTCGGTTTTTACATTTTTTTGAACACTCCTAATTGGAACATAAAGCAATGGATATGCTAATTCAAAGAAATTGAATCAATTTATTATAGAAAGACTTTTAAAGGGAAAGAGTAGAAAGAGGAACACACTTTTCCGTCACTTTACTTCAAGGAAAAGCAATTCATTGAGACAATTTCAAAGAAATTTAGTAAAAATAGGTGTGAATGAAATTTCATGAGGTTTTTATGTTGAACTAGTGTCACAATCACACCCAATGGTCACGGCCCAATAAGTCAAGAAAAATGAGAAAAAGGGGAGCATCTTCCGGGGAATTTTCACTGATGAAACCAGAAATGTAGAAGGGTAGATTAGGAATTGTGATGATTTGGAAACTTCTAGGACATTTCCTGTGTGGGAATTAATGAATTTGTGTCAGAATCACACCAGATGTGAATGGCTTATTGGTTGTTTTTGGGGTTGCAATTATGCGTTTAACTCTTTATGCAAAAGGCAAAGGCATCTTCCAGGAAAGGAGATAAAGTTTAAATGCTTAGAGATGGAAAGACTCAAGTATACGATGTGCTGGTTTAACTCTTTATTTTTTTGTTAATGTAAGTAATTCTCATCACTGGAACTTAATGGCGGTTGCTTCTTCTTCCGCTTCTCCTCAGGAAAAGTATGATGTTTTTCTTAGTTTCAGAGGTGCGGATACCCGCTATAATTTTACTTCCCATCTGTATGCTGCCTTGTGTCAAAAACAGATCAATGCATTCATGGATGATGAAGAGCTTGAAAGAGGGGAGCAAATTTCTCCATCTCTTTTGAATGCAATTGAGCAATCAAAGATATCGTTGATCATTTTCTCGCAAGGGTATGCTTCTTCGAGATGGTGCCTTGAAGAACTTGAAAAGATTCTTGAATGCATGGACAAGTATGGTCAGATTGTAATGCCAGTCTTCCATAATATAGATCCCTCAGATGCCAGGAGTCAGAATGGGACTTTTGGGGATGCATTTGCTAAGCATGAAGAGCGGTTTAAGGGTAGGCAGGAAATGTTACAGAGATGGAGGGCTGCTCTGAAAAAAGCTGCCGATCTATCTGGCTTTGATTCAAATGTCATCAGGTCACTGTTAATAGCTATTATTATGTCTTTTGTATGCATGATACTTTTCCTTTCCTCTCATTTTTTGTTTTTCATTTGACTTATTTTCTTAGAAGAAACAACGACAATATTATTGATTGAACATATAATTACAAAAAAATGAACAAACTGTGCACAATCATATTATTAAATTTATAGATTGGATTTTTCGGTTTAATTAATTTAGCATTAATCATTGATTGAACTATTTAATATTTTGTTAATTATATATAAGTTAGATTATTAGACTGAGGAGATGGTCGTAGTCGAAAGATTAAAGTCCTTTTGATCTACTTGGAAAGAAAAAAGAAAAAAGATAATGAGAACCAATAATTTGAAGTTAAAAGAAAGTGATTTTCATGCAATCTTGTAAGGTTTTTTGTTTGTTTTTTTTTTATGTAATTTGAGCTTGATATTCCTTATTCGAGAGATCATCGAGTAGCATAACTTTTATTGTTGTTTTTTGCATTGAGATATGGCATATATATAAATACTTCAAAGTAATTAATGTATTGTTAAGGAATATGCAAATGTTCAAAATCTATTGATCTCCAAATTTTAGTGCCATTGGTCTCACATCCTAGGATGGAATATTTGCCCTTCCCTGTTTTTATGACCTTCATTGAGATTCATTTATTGGAATATATGTTTTGTAACTTTTCTTTGTGATTTATTTAATTTGAGTTTTGTTCTTTTTTTGTCTCTTTTTTTTTTTTTTTTTCATATTTGTTAGGTCTGAGTTTGAACTTGTACAAGAAGTTGTCAAAGCTGTTTTGATGAGATTGAATAATGCCTCTCCTTTAATCGATGAAAACCTAGTTGGAGTGGATTCAAGAATCAAGGATATTGAAGGGCTATTACGCATTGGGTTTGCTGGTGTTCGCAAGATAGGAATTTGGGGTGCTGGTGGAATAGGGAAGACTACTCTTGCCAGGGCCATATTCAATAAAATCTCTGAAAATAGACATTTTGAAAGCTCTTACTTCTTTGAAAATATTAGAGAAGAATCAGAGAAAAACAAGGGACTAACTGGCTTGCAACAGCAAATTATTTGTAAAATTTTAGGGGATAAAAATGCTAATATAGGATCCCCCTCCACCATAAGAAGGCTTGGCCGTGTGAAAGTTTTCATTGTGTTAGATGATGTGACAAATTTAAAACAAATAGAATCTTTAATTGGAGATTTTAAGTACTTGGGTTTAGGAAGTCGAATTATCATAACAACAAGGGATAAACAAGTATTAGAAAATTGTCACATGGATGGCATATATGAGACTAAAATATTATCTGATGATGCAGCTCTCCAATTGTTTAGTCGACATGCCTTTAGACAAGAGCGTCCACCAAAAGATTTTAGGAAGCTAGCTGGAAGGGTGTTATCATATGCTAATGGTGTTCCACTTGCTCTTAAAGTTTTAGGTTCTTTTCTATTCAAAAGAACAAAGAAAAAATGGGAAAGTCAACTAGTAAACTTGAACATCAATGATCATAGGGACATCCAGGAGGTGTTAAAAGTAAGTTATGATGGATTGAGTGAAAATCAGAAGGTTGTATTTTTAGACATTGCATGTTTTTTTAAAGGGTATGAAAGAGATCTTATAGAAGCAATCTTGAATGCCCATATTTATGTAAATGTTCTCATTGAAAGGTGTCTCATAACTACATCGGACAACATCATCACAATGCATGATTTGTTTCAAGAAATGGGTAGAGAAATTGTTCGGCGAGAATCAATTTATGATCCTGGCCAACGTAGTCGGTTGTGGGATCATGAGGATATCTTGAAAGTATTGACCAAAAATAAGGTGCGATCCAAAGGCTTTAATTTTTTTTTTCTATTTTATATATGAGATATTATAAAATATTAGCTTGCAGAATATTCATCACAGTTATCATTGGGAACTTACTCAATTGGTAAAGTGATTGGGTGGGAATGAGGCATGTCTTATGTTAATGTATTTTGAAAAGAAATTTGAAAAGATAATGGATTNGACGTATGAAAGTTCTTATTGTGTTAGATGATGTGACAGATTTAGAACAAATAGAACCTTTAATTGGAGATTTTAAGTACTTGGGTTTAGGAAGTCGAATTATCATTACAACAAGGGATAGACAAGTATTAAAAAATTGTGACTGTGATGAGGATGACATATATGAGACTAAAATATTATCCAATGATGCAGCTCTCCAATTGTTTAGTCGACATGCCTTTAGACAAAAGTGTCCACCAGAAGATTTTCTGAAGCTAGCTGAAAGGGTGCTATCATATGCTGATGGTGTTCCACTTGCTCTTAAAGTTTTAGGTTCTTTTCTATTCAAAAGAACAAAGAAAGAATGGGAAAGTGCACTAGTAAACGTGAACATCAATGATCATATGAAAATCCATAAGGTGTTAAAAGTAAGTTATGAGGGATTGAGTGAAAATCAGAAGGTTGTTTTTTTAGATATCGCATGTGTCTTTAAAGGGCATGAAAGAGGTCTTACAGAAACAATTTTGAATGCCCGTAATTTCGACTCGCATATTTATATAAAAGTTCTCATTGAAAGGTGTCTCATAACTATATCGGTCAACAACACCATCACAATGCATGATTTGCTTGAAGAAATGGGTAGAGAAATTGTTTGGCAAGAATCAATTGATGATCTTGGCAAACGTCGTTGGTTGTGGGATCATGAGGATATCTTGAAAGTACTTACTGAAAATAAGGTCAGCGCCAAAGGCTTTAATTTTTATTATTTCTACTTTACATATGAGATGTAATAAAATATTAGCTTGCAGAATATTCATCATAGTTATCATTGGTAACTTACTCAATTGGTAAAGTGATTGGGTGGGAATGAGACATGTCTTATATTTATGTATTTTAAAAAGAAATTTGAAGATATAATGTATTGTATGAGAGTTAATTACTTAACAATTTATGTAATTAAGCAATTTCATACTAACTTATCATCAATATATCTGCTGTTGATTATTAGGGGACTGAAGTAATTCGAAGCATGCGCTTGAATATGTCTAAAGTATCGGAGTCACATTTAAAGCTTGAAGATTTCAAGAACATGCAAAATCTAAAATTCTTGGAAGTTGATGGCTGCGAGTATGATAAGAAGGTGCCTGGTTTGGAAGTCGTTGAATCTGATTCTTGTTTGCTGTGCCTTAACATATTCAAGCCTTGTTTTGAATGGTTTTTATGGAAGTTCTTTGAAAATAATAGCTCCGAGCATGANAAAGAAAAGAATGGTGAATTATTGGCTCATCAATTCTTAAAATCAATTAACACGACTTAACCTCCTTTAATGATCTGTCATGTTGCAATACAATTTGCAATTATATACTTGTTTTTATTAGGAGACTTTGAATAAGCTTTAGTGAATATTCCATTGATCTTTGCATGTGATTATTTGTTTAATAATATACTTGCAATAATTTTATTTAATAAGAGGTTTTATTAAAGCATAGTTTAAGAATGAGATTGTTAATAATAATAATGTCAAAGGCAATAGGAGGTCTGAGGAAGAAATCATTGATGGGTTAATGGATCATCTGTTTGCTACTAATAGGAAAAGAGAGACTTTGGGCTTCTGTTGTGTAAGTTTAAAAAGACTGGTCTGTTCTGGCATTGGCTTAGGCTTGGGCTTGTTTTTGCTTTGTAAATTGTTGGATCTTTTTGTTCGAGCTTTGTTTTTGTACATCCCTAGCTTTTAGGCTTTTACTTTGTTTGCTTCCTTGGGCCTGTCCAGTGTAAGAGATGCCCGGGGGGGTCAGTGGGGTGGTTCGTCCTTTCCTCTGTATTCTTTCGGGTTTTTTTTTTTTTTAAAATACAATTATTGGGTTTACGGAAAAAAAAAAGGTTTTTACTTTTTTCACAAGAAGATGCATTTTGGATTATTATTATTATTTTTTTAAAAGATGTCATCATATTACTAATACTTTAATAGCAGGCCATTACAATTTAATTATTGAATATAGTATTTCCTTAACTTCCAATAATTTAATATATTGTTGATTAGAATATTATAACAATTTGAGAAAAAAAAAAGTGTTATAAAGCAAATAACAGGGTTTGATTGCTCCTTTAGTGATTTATCTATCTACCTCAAAGTATTACAACCATATCATGACTTGACTTGACCGTCTTTAGTGATCTATCTAGGGATGAGCCGCGAGCCGAGTAGCTCGCGAGCTACTCGAGCTCGGCTAGTCCCAAGCTCGAGCTCGACTCGAAATTAGTCGAGTCGAGTTTGAGCTCGAGCAGCTCGTGAATAGTAACGAGTCGAGTTCGATTCGGGCCGAGCTTAGCTCGTCAGGCTCGTGAGCTTAAATGATCTTAGGGGGCAATTTGCAAGATTTCAAAACTTTTTTATTTTAAGGTTGTTAAAATTGCAAATAGCACCCATATAGACAAAAACGCAGAAGTGCAGAACCCATTTCAATTTTTCAATCAAAGCTGAAACAAAAACTGAAAAAGTAAAACCCATTTGCGATTTTTCATTAACCCTAAGTCCTAAATCTCCGCTGCCATTCGCCGTAAATCAACCAAACATTCAAGAATTTTTAGGAGTATGTTAAAAAAGCTTCCATTTGTACAAATTTTATCATCAATTTCAAATTTTTTTTTTTTACATGTGGTGTGATAGGATACTTATTATGTTTGGGACCATACTGGATTGAACAAATAATTATATTCAAATTTCGTAATAATATAATAACTAATTTAAATAAAATTTATAATATTAAAGTTCAAAATATATGGAAAAAATTACTTTATAAAATAAATAGTTTTTAAACATCTTGTATGCAGTTGTGGGTTTCGATAGCATCCAGTATACTGCAGTCCTTGTAGTGCCATGTATGAAGATGGGAACTTGGGCAGATGGATTTCTTGCAGTTGATATATATATATAATGCTGCATTGTAAGCATAGACAGTGGAAGAGTTGCAGTCTCAGTTGTGGCTTTGGTGTGGGAGTGAGGCTGCCCTTTGTGCATATCTTTTTTGTTGTTTTTTGCTGCCGTTGGGAGAGATGGACAGAGTTTTATGGTGTTAGTCTCTTGCTTGGCTTTTTGTATAGGATCACAAGATTGTAGAGATTAGGTTTCTTGTGGTTGTGCACTCTTGCTTAGACATTCATTTTTTATATTTTTCTATGTAGCTCTTTTTAATACAACCAAATAATACGGTTTGACCTCTCATGATCTATCAATTTTAAAGTATCAAAATTTCTATTCTTTGGAAGTCTATTACAATTTTCACATATTATATATGATATATCAAAATTCATTATATAAAAATAGGGAATCTATTTTCTTTTTCCCAGAAAAACAGATTTGGAGATTGTGAAAGGCTTACTCTCAAATCTATGTTTGCACCCACTTGTTTTATCCAGTACAATCACACCCATATTGTGTCTCTCTCCATATGTACATATATATAAAAGGGAGATTGCAATTTGATGATTTTCTTGGTACAGGAAAGAGGATTCGAGCAGTTATGGGGACCGGAAATCGTTCTACGTGGTTGTATACTTTACCCCGGAAGAGATATTTCAGACTGGTTTAACTTTATAAGTAGTGAAAATTTTATAAAGCTTCCACCAGGTTGCCTCAACGATAACTTAATTGGTTTTGCCGTGTGCGCTGTTATATCATCTCCACACACAGGAAGGTGGGTCGACAATGCTTTCGAAGTTCGATTTAATCTTTCTATTAACGAGAAGCTTGTTTTCTGTGGCCCACTCTGTAATGGTTTTTCAGGCCTAGTGGTTATTGAATCAGATTCAGATCATGCATTCATAGGATATGATTATGGAATTATGCCCTCTGAATTGCTTCCACTCAGTTTAAATAGTGAGGGCCTCATTAAGTTCTCAGTTGATAATAGTTCTCCTCCGTTCAAGTTGAAAAAGTGTGGAGTCAGATTGTTGTACGCCGAAGATAATGATTTGAGAATAGATGCAAGAGTGGACAAAGACCAGAGATTGAAATCTATAAATGGCTCAGATGATGACTGCATATGAAAAGGCTACACTAAGTGGACTCAAACATTGAATTCAATTTTATTTATTTAATGTGATATTTATTTGTCAAATCTTCATTTTAAGTCTTTTCAGTATTGGATACTTCTCATACTCTAATAAATTTTGTTAACAATAATAATCTGGAGTGTTTAGCTATAGATTTTGTTGATTGTTATTTGTATTTATGTGTTACTTAATTTAGCCATGGCTTTTTGGTTTTAATCATATTTGGTCATAATGAGGGTTCATATTCGTTGGCATTTTACTGTCAATTTCTCGAAGATAACCCACTCCATTAGATCTGAAAGCTAACTTGGTCGCTAGTCTTGGGAAAATTTGGAGGTAAATTTTATGACAGAAAAAGGATTCCCTTTTTATGTCCTTACGTCTCTCCAACAGTAAGCTGATGGGCGATGCTTGTGCTAATTCGGGATAGCAGGATTGTTGTTGCTTCAGTAGGAAACCCTCCAGGGGAATTCAAGGCTTTTTACTCCATTTCTGCCCGATCTTCAGGATATGCCTAATCTTGTTTGCCTTCTGAAGCTACTCAGCTAACTTTCTGCAGTTTATATTCATGTTGTATGCTCTGCAGTTCTCTGTTCCAGAATTGTTGAAGTGCCTCTTTTTTATTCTCTTCAGTTTTTGAAACTCTGTTTTTATATTCATGCCCTGCAGTTCTCTTTCAGAATTGTTGAAGTGCCTCTTTTTTAATGCTATTCATTGTGCTTTCAGGCTGGCTTGATCCCCGCCCATGCTAATAATTTGGCTGGCAACTTGGCACGTGGACGCATATTTCCTTTACTGTCATCTCGATGTTCTCTGGATTTTCATCTCTGGAATTGGTTTATGTTGCCGAACTACTATTTAATTATGTGTTTCATTAAGGATACTGCTAAGTTCATTGTTGAACTTTTCTTGAACTTTTGCCTTCTGAGGCTGATTTTTGTCTACATGTTTGCATACTTAGATTTGTTTTTCAGTATATCGTTAATACTATACCCGATCATATAAACTGCTAATTGCTGATACTAGGGATGTCTGATAACCTGAAGTTTAGGTACATAAGGAAAATCTCCAAGGGTTTACAGCTTTAATTCCAATATCACTGTTGGATCTGATAAAAAAATGGTAACTTTCCATGTAGTCCACCTTTCTCAACAAGAACACCAAGCTCTGCAATTGCAGCGAGAGTTTCATAATGAAAAAATGAGGATGAAAAGCTTTTCTCTGAAGAGGAGAGTAAGTATTTTGTACTTCGGAGTTTCTCAAAAAAGACTACAGTTTTGGCCTTGGCACGTGTGTTCTCGTTCCTGTCAGTTGCTAATTCTACCCCCACCATTAAGCCCCTCCCTCTCACATCTCCAACGACTGAAACAAGATTTGATCAATGTGAGAAGAACTGCATAATAAACATTGCCACTCTAAAGCATAAGACAAAGTTGTGCAATAAAGAAACAAGAAGATTGAGTGTGTTCACAAGAAGTAAAATTTGTTTATCTTCATTATCTTTATTGTTTTGTGTTAGTCATATCAGAAATCATGGCAATAAAATCATGCGATATGCCAGACCAACTGCCATTCTCTCTATCATTTCCATGTGCCATTATAAGCAGCACCATTTATTTGTTCCTCAAATCTGTCCTCGCAGCCGGCTCAACTCATTTAATTGCCGACCAAGGGCGGTTTAGAAACATGTGTAGACATGAAAGTCCTAAAATGATTCTATTGGATTGAATATATACATGTGTGTGTGATAGGATACTGTATTATGTTTGGGACCATACTGGATTGAACAAAATAATTATATTCAAATTTCGTAATAATATAATAACTAATTTAAATAAAATTTATAATATTAAAGTTCAAAATATATTGGAAAAAATTACATTTATAAAATAAATAGTTTTTAAACAGTCTCGTATGCAGTTGTGGGTTTCGATATGCATCCAGTATACTGCAGTCCTTGTAGTGCCATGTATGAAGGATGGGAACTTGGGCAGGATGGATTTCTTGCAGTTGATATATATATATATGCTGCATTGTAAGCATAGACAGTGGAAGAGTTGCAGTCTCAGTTGTGGCTTTGGTGTGGGAAGT